TTAAGAGCTATATGAAATCAAACTGCAAACTCTGAAGAAATGCTTGCAACATGATAAGAAGCTAATTTCCTTTCACGTGAAGAGTGCCTGCAGATAACTAAGACCAGCAACCAAATAGAAAAATTGTCAAAGATTATGATTAGACTCTTCACCGAAAAGTAAATTCAAAAGACTTTTAAAATGTCTGAAAATTAATATTAAAACCCAGACTACGGAATATAACTATTCATTTGACAAAGGTAAAAAAGTATGACTACACATTGGCAAGGATAAATGAAAACAGGTTCCTCGTATGTTCTAAAAGGGAAGCATAAATTAACCTTCACTAGAAGGCACGCTGGTAAAATCTATCAAAATCTCAAAGGCACATAGACTTTAACCCACCAATTCCACTTCTAAGGATTTATCCTATAGACATGCTTTCATGTGTATGCAGAGTACAGACATGTATGGACAACTACATTATTGTTTGTGATGGGAAAAGGTGGGAAACAATCTAGATGTCCATCAATAAGAGACTTGCTATGATGTATGTATACTGCAGATGAAAACAGTGAGACAGAGTATGAGGCACGGATATGTTTGTATAAGGCATGCTAGTCAGTAAAAAAAAAAGGAAAGGACAGTAGTATTGGGAGGAAAATTAGGAAGTCAGCAACCAGGGGAGGAAAAAAACCTTAATAATCATTGTATACTCTTGTGTTGTAGTGTTTTCCCTTATGCGCATATAACTGGTATGCTTATGGGTTAAAAATCCAGCCAAAAATAACTCATTTCAAAATATACAAAATAGCTGTTAATAAAAAAAAAAAACAGCAGGAGACTCAACAAACTCCAAGAAGGGACTAGCAGTTATCAAAGGGGAGTGGTGGGGGAGGGCAGGTGGGGAGAAGGGGATTGAGCGATATTGTGATTAGTACACATGCTGTGGGGGGGGGATCGTGGGGAAGACAGTGTAGCACAGAGAAGACAACTGTGGCACCTCACTACCCTGACGGGCAGCCACTGCAATAGGGTGTGCGGAGGGACTCGATGATATGGGTGAATGTAGTAACCACATTGTTTTTCATGTGAAACCTTCGTAAGAGTGTATATCAATAATACCTTAATTAAAAAATTGTAATACTAAAAAAATGCATGCACGTCCTCTGATATACATGAGAGCCCAGTTAAGACTGTCTACAAGATACCTTCACCATCTCCACTGTTACAACATACCAGTAACTCTCCAATTCTCTTACAATCAGGTCTTCTTGATATAAAGCTCTTGAAGTTCAATTTCAAAAGGTTTCATACTGCATTCAACATGCCAGGTCAGACTTCTTTTTCAAACCGCTGGTAGGACACCTCCAGACATTGTCATCTTGGTAAATAACGCTTTCATGCATCCAGCTACTTAAACCAGAAACACCTCTTTCCATTAGCCCTCTTCCCATGAAATTCTATTCTTCTTTCAAAATACATCTCACTCCCTATTCCATATTCACCCCACCAGCGACCCCTTTCCAGCAATACTGCAATGCACCCCCACACATCTCCCTTAATGGGAGACGCTTCTACTCCTGCTCCTCCACACTGTCCGGGTAGCAAGAAGCCACAGGGACGCAGTGAAAATGTCACATTAAAAATTATGTCATGCCTGGCCCGCCGCCCGCCGCCCGCCCGCCCCCTGGGGGTGGCTGCTTACCGGGAGCTGCCGCTGCGAGGGCGCCGGGTCCCAGGCGGGGCGGGGCCTGGGGCCGGCGGGAGGAGGCCGCGGGCGGCCGCTGATGGAAGGCGCCGGCCGGCGACGGGGACGCGGGGAGCGAAAGGCAGCACGGCGGGCACGGGAAGCGGGCGGCGCCGGCCGGCGGGACGCGCGTGCGCGCGGCGCCGGCTGCGGGCGGACCCCGCCCCCCTCGGGCACTGCCCCCTCCCCCCGAACGACGGCACGTGCGCCCCGATCCCACACTCCCCTTTCTGGGCAGCATCCGTGTAAAATAAAAAGACGTAAGAAAACTGCAAAAGGAAACGGAGGAGGGGTTTAGCGAGATGATAAAGAATTAAGGGGCAGGTGCTGTGGGAGCAAAAGTGAGAATAACTTTTCGGATTGCATGTAGGGGAATGTTCAGTAATAATCTTCAGAACTGCCCTCGAGTAAATGAAATTAGGCATGGAAAGGTGATCTTGAGAAATTGCATTTCTGGTAATTAAATAATCTTTCCTAAAATTCTTAGAGAAATACCAATAAAGATAGAAAGCCCTTTTTATTTACTCATATTGGATATTATAGTAAATGCAGTAAGACAAGAAAAGGAAATGAAGGATATACATATTAGATATGAAAAAATAGAACTACCTCTACTCACAGTTGACATGGCTATATAAGAATTCCTAAAAGTCATCAATAACAACAATAAAATATTCTGGAACAAATAAGTGACTATAATAAAGGTATAAGGTTCTAGTTCCGTGCAAAAGTCTATTACTTTCCTACAGCATCAACGAAGAATTAGAATTTGAATTTAGAAAACAATAGCATCTCCAATAGCACTCCAAAAGTGAAACGAAATGTAATAGATAATCTAATGAACTACAAACAGGATCTCTATGCAAACATATCCAAAACTATTTTTAAAAATAGGAAAATCTAAATAGAGATACCTTGTATTCATGGACTGAAAGAACTCAAGATTGTGAAGATGTCAATATATCCCCACATAATTTAATGCAAATGCAGTCAAAACCCAGCCAGTTTGGCAGGTCTATCATCTGTACCGTCACTCCACATCCCACAGCAACACTTTACACAGATCATCATGAGAATGTGGGGGTGCAATTGTGCTAATATTTATGTACATATTTGTATCTAACTGGGTAAATAACTGGATAATGTTATGACTGGAAAGAGGTTCCAGTAAGGTACAAATTGTTCTGGCCACAAATTTGAACTTTGTAAGAGAATTCTAAAGGGTCTGGTTGTGTTTGCCGGGTCATGGGGAATAGAAGAGAAACTGATGAAAAGGAACCCCAGAGGCTCTCCAGCATCATGGACAGCCTGGAGTCTCTCATGGCAAATCCAGCATTCTGCAATGACCCCCTAAGAGTGGCCAGGGAGATGCAGAGGAGGACATTAGCTTTCCAGGCCAATGCCAGAATAAAGGAAAGAAAGAAAAAAAAAAGCTGTCTTGAGAAAGAACAAAAAAGCTGGAGGTATCAAACTCCCTGATTTCAAACTGGACTATAAAAATACAGTGATCAAAACAGTATGGTATCGGAACAGGAACAGATATATATGTCAGGGGAAGAGAATGGAGAGCCCAGAAATAAGCCCATTTGTAAATGGTCGATTAATATTATCACAAAGGAAGAAAAAACATACAATGGGGGAATGACAGTCTCTTCAATAAATGGTGTTGGAAAAACTGGACAGCTACATACATAAAAGTGAAACTTGATCAAAAAAAATTATGATACTCCATGATTAAAAGCATTCGATGGTTCCCAACACACTTAAAGTGTAATCCAAAGTCCCTTATTACAACTCCCTGTGTGATCTGCGTCAAGGCTTCTCTCCAGTCTCATGTCTGTCATTGAGCCATTTAATTACCATGCTGTAGCCACACTGTAGGGCTTATTTCTCTGCTCCCTCAATCTGTTAAGCTCTTCCCTATCTCAGATATCCTTACATCTGTTAGGCAGGAAAATAGATATGAGTGGGGTGCAAAGAGAAAAAGGCCAGAAAGTCAACTAAAAAGACCCAAAATTAATCAATTAAAGCCCAAAAAGCCAGGAGCAAGTTGGCCTGGAATGTCTGACTATTCCCCCGTTAGAGGGTCCCTCAGCATAGCCCATGTCCTTGCTCTGTTATTCACGCAGGCCCAGCCGTGAACAACATAGTAAAAGGCAGGAAGGATTCCATCTTAAAGATTGTATTTTAATATCCAGGAAGTTAAAAATGTAAGATTCTTAACTTACTCTTTAGCAAACAGACAATAACTCAGCCCACCTTGGGGGCTGGGCAGGCAGCCTGTTTGATCTGCTCCCAGACCAAGATGCCGGTATGCCAGGGAGAAATCATGAAGTTCCTTGTGTTAATTCTAGGTATTCAAAAAACCACTTAACAAGTCTGCACCCCCCGTGCTTAGTCATATTCCTAAAGAATCCTTAAAAAGGGGGAACCCCCAGCCTTCCAGGGTGCTCCTCTCTCTGAGGTCACCCACACTTTCTAAGTGTATAACCTTTTAATCTTAAACTTTCTGTCTCCAACCTTTCAGGGTGCCTCTCCTTGCTGAGGTGGCCTGTACTCTTTCTCTCTTTAAGTAACTTTAAATAAAACTTTTACTCTGCTTCACTACTGTGTCTCTGCCCTTCAATTCTTTGTTGCAGAGGGGTCAAGGGTCGAGGAAAATACACAACGCTCCCCCAACACATCTGCCTGGGATACCTGCTCACTTCTATTCACTCTTCATCTGGCTGCTGCATACCTTTTGCTTCATATCATCACTAAGATTCTACATTTGCTCTGTTCACTTGGCACATTGCTCATGTGCAATAAATAACAATCACCTCAAATAAAAACAGAGATCAAGCAATACATGGAGACAAATGACAACAATAATTCAATACCGGAAAATCTGTGGGACACAGTGAAGGCCGTGCAAAGAGGGAAATATATTGCAATACAGCCTACCTCAGGAAAGAAGAACAATCCCAAATGAACAGTCTAAATTCACAATTAATGAAACTACAAAAGGAAGAACAAATGAGACCCAAAGTCAGTAGAAGAAGGGACATAATAAAGATTAAAGCAGAAATAAATAAAATTGAAAAGAATGAAACAATAGAAAGAATCAATGAAAGCAGGAGCTGGTTCTTTGAGAAAATAAAATAGATAAACCTCTAGCCAGGCTTATCAAGAAAAAAAGAGAGTCTGCACACATAAACAGAATCAGAAATGAGAAAGGAAAAATCACTATGGACACCACAGAAATACAATGAATTATGTGGTAACAAACTGGATAACCTACAGGAAATGGACAACTTTCTAGAAAAATACAACCTTCCAAGGCTAACCAAGGAAGAAACAGAAAATCTAAACAGACCAATTACCAGCAACGAAATTGAACTGGTAATCAAAAAACTACCTAAGAACAAAATCCCTGAACCAGATGGCTTCACCGCTGAATTTTATCAAAACATTTAGTGAAGACCTAATACCCATCCTCCTTAAAGTTTTCCAAAAAGTAGAAGAGGAGAGAATACTTGCAAAACCATTCTATGAGGCCAAAATCACTCTAATACCAACACCAGGCAAAGACACCACAAAAAAAGAAAATTACAGACCAATATACCTGATGAACATAGATGCAAAAATACTCAACAAAATATTAGCAAACCAAATTCAAAAATACATCAAAAAGATCATCCATCATGATCAAGTGGGATTCATCCCAGGGATGCA